TGCATTCTGGTACACAACTTCATGATAATCAATGGGCAGTTGTCAGTAGGGGTTCCTTTGAAGATGAATTGACTCAAATTTGATGATTGAATCATAAAAAGCAGTTGCTGTTTGTTAAAATTGGTAATTTTAAGCTGATTGCAATCTAAAAGTCTTTGAATAATACGGAGTTGAATGTAAAATGAAAGTGATAGATCAATTTAAACATGAATCGAGTCAAATTTGGTTAGTGAATCAAGGTTAATTACCAAGCTTTGATGAAGAAGTCCTAGACACTTTATAAAGTACTTGCTGTTTGTTAAAATTTGTAATTCATAGTTGATTGTGAATTAAAAGTCTCTGAACGATTTTGAGTTGAATTGAAAATAAAGGTGATAGATTGATCTGGATATTTTTTGAATTATGTAAAGCTGATCAATCTGTTGAGGTTTTCCAAGTTGGACACAAAAGAAAGCCTTTTCTGTTTTTCATTTTGATGTTGAAGCTTGTGATTGAGACATGTGGAGGTGGTGAGGTGGGGTTATTTTTCATGTGGGTTTTTGGATCTGCCAAGCTGTACCCACATGAAAAAACCCGCATGAAAAAACCAAAAAATTCATGTGGGTTCATGCGGGTTTTTTCATCTGGGTTTTCATCCGGGTTTTTGATGTTTGTGTACCACTATTGCCTTGATGTGCTTGATCTAGAATGTCAAACTAGAAGGTAATCAAGATTACCTCTTAGGATAACATAAGTACCTCCACAGAAAAAATACCAAAAAAGAGAAAGAAGTATGAAACATGATTATGTAAAACAAGTTTCATACCCACCACACCTCACACTCAAGTATCAAGAGTGAAACATACATTAAAAACCCTTATTACCAAATGAGTGACTAATAAGGACAAAATAATATTAAAAAACCATTGAAGCAATGAAGGTTGCTAAACAATTAACAAAACAACCAACATTCCTGAACTAGGTAATTAAAACCTAACCAGTTCAGGAATGAAACCCTGTTATGAAAAAACTTGAGCAAGTATCACAAAAGGGTACAACTTAGCCCAAGTCATAACAAACCAAAAAACCCTGACTATTTAAAGAAGATAGACAGGGTACAAAGCTGACAATTAAGATACCAACCACCAAGGAATATCTAATTCCTAAGATATATAAACCCGGCTAATCTCGCACAAAGAAAGGAGAATCATTCAATAATACTATCAACACAACTATAACAACTTTTTTAGAACTTAAAAGCCTTGAAACAACTTTTCTTCTTTAAAACCACCAGTCAAATTACTTTTAGAATTGGAACTATCAAGCCCTCCGCTGTATATCTTCCTATCTTTTTGACTATTCTGGTTTTTGTTTAAAACTCATTCTTTGCTTTGATTTCTTAAAAACCTATGTAGCTTGTGTTTGACAGACCAAAAGATTGATCAAAACCCACAAGCGTTCAGACCAATATAATTCTCAGATCCATACCTAGAAACAACAAAGCCAGACTTCTACGTTCCTAAGTACATTAGAATTTAGACTCCCCTGAGATAGGTGTGCTGAGCACACCCATCTGTAGAAGACAATTGAATAAAGGATCAAATCTTATTCAGTAAGTATCAACTTGTTAAAAGATTCTTATCAAAGAAGAACTAACAAACCCTTTGGCTCAAATCTACTTCAGTATACAGTAAGGATACAAGCCTACCCAGCTAGAAACATCATCTAGTAAGTATCATTCAGTTCAAGTCTAGAATTCACTAATTTCTTATACTCAGGCATACATAGAAGAAATAAAGAATTAAATCCAATTTCAACTTGGTGAGTCATTCAAATGTCAAAAACTCAAATGTAGAATCAAAACAGAAGGCTGTGAATGAATTCACAAGTAAATACTTCAAAACCAGAATGTGGAGATACAATACAACAAAGAAGTGGAAGAAACAAACTTGCGCAAACCAAACTATACAATTTAATCTCAAAAAATCAAACATTGATGAAAGAAGGATTAGAAATCATATTAATTCTAACACATCAAACCATAACCAAATCTTTAACCCAAATCAGATCCAAATTCATTCAAAGCTTATCAATGTTTTATCCAATAGAATTAACAACCCAACATTCAACATTTTCAACTTTAAGTATCACAATAGAACCAAAATACAATTTGATCAATTCATCAGATGTTTTCAAATCCTTCAATCCAGAACCAGAAGAAGAATAAAAAAACCTTCATCTGGTTTGGGATTACTTGAATTATTTCTGTCTTTATCAGATATTCCTTTACTTCATCCACTTACTTGGATTTTGTTTTCAAACTAAGTCTATTGGATTCTGAACCATTGAGGAATCAAAGTTTGAGGATGATTGGGTGTCAGGTGGAGGAATTGAAAAAGACTTAAATCAGTCGAGTTGTTTTGACTTTTTCCTGTCTTCAAATTTCAAGTGACATATTTTGTTATTGACAAATACCATGATAGGTTGTTTGACTTGGTCACATTCTCAAATCAACCCTGCTTTGATTGGTGTGTAATAATCATCATTGCCTTATCAACCCAATCAAAATTGTTAAAGGTAGGAAATCTTCAACAACTTCAATCATGGTGTTTTCATCATTCTCCTCATTTTTTCTACAGAAAGGGAAGGAGTGATTCCCAGAGGCTGTTGAGTGAGTGCATAGGCTGCGCTGGTTGCCACACATAAGCGCTTGAAGAATAAAGGGGTAAACACTTCTCGTTCTTCTTCTTT